TGCTGACCTCATATAAGAAGGTCCATCCCTCATCTATTAACCTCCGAGGCCAAACACCCTTCGATCTCTGTCAAGAACTAGTTTAAAAATTCAATTTCCAAACATTTTTATACTTTCTAAAAATGTGAAAATATATACGAGACGATTAGATCGAAAATAAAAAAAAAATATTTACAGACTACGACAAACTTCGCTTTCATCAACAATAACCCAATGGGCACAAATTATACAAATTTCACAAAAGAATGCTTCATTAAGTTCTCTAATTAATTAAAGTACGTGATAAGCTTAGAGGACTATTTATTAATGCAGAAAAAGTACAACAAATGAGAGGAGAATCAAAATTAATAGGAGCAGTTAAAAAAATCATTCATGTGTTAAAGAAACAAAATTATCAGATATACATAGTCGGAAATGTAAAGTGAAATTAAATCTATATTAAGATCACTCTAAACGAGTATTAAGTTACGATTTTGAAAGTGAATTTTTCACGAGATTCGTTCTAATGCAAGGTTGTTAACTAACTTTCAAAACTTTAATAAGCACAGGTGTATAAACTTTAATAATTAGCGCTTCACAACTTGCAACTTAATTTTACATAAATTTAATGACAACTGCAATTAAGGATGCGTAAAAGGGTACAATGTCTTCATGATTTCTGTACTAGGTGCTTCTACTTCTTAAGTCGTTGTAACACTTAACATAAAGGTTCAGGTTTTATTTTCTCAAATATACCTAAATTTTTTAATAACATTGATAAAAAATCCTTTAAATTTTTTTAATTTTGCCTCAATGTCTACAAAAGATTTTATTATTAAAAAAATGTTAAGGACTTAAATGTTTATGTTTCAATTCTCGAAATGATCATTACTTCGTGAAATTTAATTAACCCGACAAAGGAGAAAATTCGAACAACAAAAAAAAAGGAACCAAATTGCAATGCAATTTAGAAATCGAAGTTTCAAATTAGCTAAGTTGATTCGGATTTTCCTCGACTTTGGACTTTTATAAACTTTTAAATAATGACTTTCTATGAAAAGAAAAAGGTTCTACTAGAATATTTTACTCGATTTGTGAAAATTTATTCCGTTAATTAATGAAAAAAAATCCAACTAAGTAGTTCAGGTAGAATTCATATTCACTTGGAATATTTTACTCACGTGAAAATTCACATTTTAAAAAAATATTTCTACTTTCATTTATAAAAACCAGACACTCGAAAAATTTTCTAAGTGAATAAAATGATAAAACACACAATTAATTAATGCTCTCTGGAAAAAATTTTATTCTAGATACGCTTTCACACGACTCAAGCTATACAAACACATTTCATGATCATTGGCTTTAGAAGTGAAATGGATTCAGAGAAATTACTTCGCTCGGAGACTAGGTCAAGTGCACTGGACGAAACTAATAATACACATTAAAAGAACTCACAAAAAAGAGATTTTCAAATCTTCAACATAAAAAATGCAAGATTTCTTTTTAAATTAATTCCAAAGACTAATTAACTCTCTTCTATTTAGAAACAAAAAATAAAAAAAATGCGACATAGTAGGTATATAAATTTTACAGTACCGAATGGCAATTTTCCTTCTCTAATTAGATATAAATAATTTTTCGAAATTTATTTCCTCGCCGCATACGATATAATTAATATTTAACGTACACTTTTCCGAGGAGAAATATATAAACTATTTTTCATCTTAGATGTGCCAGGAACCGAGTGTCAAGCCATTTGTTTGAAAAATACTGCACAAGGATGAAACTTTAAACAGGAGAAAACAATGGCTAATTAAAATCTTGACACCGGAGAGTAGTGGTTGGTCGTAACTGAAAACAAAAGATGCAAGAGGAGCATATCGATTTCAGAAAGTTAACCGGTGCTCGACTCGTTTTGCATGCATTATTGCATTAGCATAATTTCCGCACTTTTTTCATTACACCGGAATCCCGTACGCGAAGTTCCCTCTCCTCTCTCTCTCTCACTCTTTCACCCCTGCCCGTCTATCCCTGGCTCATAAATGGATTTTTCTAACAATTTCTATTTGCATATTTTTTACATAATTACATACAAGTCTAGAGTCGAACACCCGACTATTTTCTAAGAAAATAAATTTCCAACACACCCCACAGTAAAACGCTGAAAGTACATCGGATAACACCAGAATTACAATATACCCTTTACAATAATCTCCTTCCTTTTATATTAACCACCCTTTAAGCTTGTATTTTAACAATTTCCCACCATTCTAATTTTGCAAAATGATAACAATTTACTTTAAAAATTCATACTTTTAAAAATTCAAATACAGGGTTGCCACAGGTCAAGGAAGTCAGAAATTTTTATTAAAAGTACTGGAAAGTATTACATTTTTAGAATTTATAAGAAAATTCTGAATTTTGTTGTCTTTTTTCTCTGCCTCATAAACTATGATTTCAAAAGAGTTACATTTACAATAAAAAAAATAAAAATAACTAAAAATAACTTCAAAGGTTTCAATTTAAAATTTTAGAAAATATCAATTTTTAATGAATTTAAAATTTTAAATAGGAATTTCAGGAACCACTGCTTACAGAAATTCAATTATTTTTAAAAGTGATAAACTTCTTCGCTTAAATTCAATTATGTTCAAAAATTTTTAAACATTCTCGTCAAAATTTCAATTATCTTTATAAATAATAAAATTCTTCTCCGAAATTTAATTATTTTCAAAAAATTTGATAAAATTTTTGTCAAAATTTCAATTATTATCGAAAATTTTCCTCATTTCAATTATTTTTAATATCTTATTTTAATAAAATTTTCCAAAAGAATTCAATTATTTAAACCAAATTTTAATAACAATTTCACGGGAATTCAATTACCAATTTTTTTTATAAATTATATTGCACCAATTCAATTATTTCGAAAAATTTAAATAAAATTCTTTTAAAGATTCTATTATTTAAAAAAATTTTAATAAATTTCTTGGCAAAATTTCAATTATTTTCAAAACCTTTTCGCAATTTAATGATTTTTAATAACTTCTACTTTAATAAAATTTATAAAAGATTTATATCCATAAATAATAAAACTCATCGTGGATTCTCAACTATTTTTAATACAACTTTAATAAAATTCCTCGAAAAATGTAATTATCCTTAAAAATTTTATTAAAAGTAATCAAAGAAATTCAATCATTTTAAAAACCTTTCCTACAATTTATTTATTAGAATTTATATATTATTTTCAAAACATTTTTAATTGAATTTCTTAAAAGAATTATACCTATTATTTTCAAAAATTTTAATGCAATTCTTTGTAACAATTCAATTATTTTCAAAATTTTTAATAAAATTCCTGGCAAAATATCTATTATTTTCAAAAATTTTCCTCAGTTCAATGATTTTTAATATCTGCTACTTTAATAAAATTTTTTAAAAGAATTCAATAATATTAGACAAATTTTAATAAAATTTTAGGTAAACATTTACTTAACTTCATAAATATACAAATTTCACAGGAATTTAATTATTTACAAGAATTCAATTATTTTCATAAATAATAAAATTTTTTTCAAGAATATTTAACTATTTTAAATTTTTTTGTTAAAATTCTTTATAAATTAAAAAAAAAATTTTATTTCCTAAAAAACAAAATTCTTTGAAGCAATTCAGTTATTTAAGACATTTTAATAAAATTCTTTTCAAAAATAAAATTTTTCACAGAAATTCAATTATTTAAAAACAAATTTAATAAATTTCTTCGTTAGATTTCAATTATTTTCAATTTTTTATTGAAATAAATTGAAATTTCTCAATAAGATTTAATTATTTTCAAAAAGTTTAAAAAAATTCTGAAAAATTCAATTATTTAAAAAAATTTGAATAAAAATCTTCACAAGAAATTACGTAGTTTCATAAATAATAATATTTTTATCCAGAATTCAATTCTTTAAAAAACTTTTTAATAAAATTCATTGCAAGAATTCAATTATTTTCATAAATAACAAAACTTATCGCAGAATTCAAATTATTTTTTATACAATTTTAAATAAACTGATAGAAAATTGCATTTATTCTTAAAATTATTTTTTAAATTCGCCGAAAGAATTCAATTATTTTTAAAAATTTTGATAAAATTCTTCATAAAATTTCAATTTTAAGAAATATTCAATTATTTAATAAATTATTTATCTTTCTATTTAAATAATTGAATTCTCGAAAAATTTTCTGATAAAAATTGATTAAAAAATTAATTTTACTAAAAATTTTCAATTATAATTGAATATTAAAAGTAGTATAACGTGATTTTTTAAAAATAATTGAATTTCGAAAAGGGTTTATAAATTAAAATCTTTGAAAATTTGAATTTATAGTTACAATATTTTTATGATATAAAATAATAATTTTATCACTCTGTCATCTTAAATTTATTATAAAACATGAAGACAGCGAAATCTCCGAATATTTTTAAAAGTTATTGAATTTCAAGAGGTTTAAATTTTTATTTTTTTTAAAATCTTAATTCCAATGGAAAAATAATAATGATTAAATATTTATTAAAAAAAGAAGTTTTTGATGTTTTCGAATAATTTTACTTTTAGAGAAATTTGCAAGTAAAAGTATTATAACACTTTTTTGTAGTATCTAAAAATTTTTAGAATGAATCAAAATATTCTTTAGGGTCAAGGAAAAAGTCAAAATCAGTCAGGAAACATTCTGGAAATCAGGGAAAAACAAAATTAAATTTTTTGTGGCAACCGTGAAATAGTAAAATTAGAAAATTAAAAATCCGTATAAAGACAAGAATCATAAACCCTGACGAATGGAAGGAAAGTTTTTGTGTATAATAATTTACTAAAATTCTTTACCTTGTATAAATGTAATTAACTCTACAATTGAAATCGCGATCACGCACAAGTATCTTTTGATCGTGAATTGAATTCGTATACTCGTTTAAGTTAGTGTTGTGTGCAATGTGCAATACTTTCGCTTAATACAAAGAAGAAACTTGGGCATAGAACTGACAGTCTTGTTGAAAACTCGACAAAGAAGCTATCTCAATGATACTTGTACAGAAACTTTGATACTCAATTGTGCATCGTGTTTCAAAACAAAAAAAAAAAAGAACGAACGGTGTGTAAGTGAACTTATAGTTTTCAATGACTATTCGAATGAAAAATTGACTTTTCGCGGTATACGCCAAAAGAAATTTGTAGAAAAACTTTTTTCCCTTTGTGCAACACGAGAGATATATTTCATCATATACAATAGATCAAAAATAACAACTCAAGACAGCGATATACCAATAACAAATAATTGTACCATCATTTTAGTTTTATATCATGGCTCTAACTTTAGAATCGTGTACTTTGGAAGAAAAGTGTTCGTTTCTAGGGAGAAAATATGAGGAATTAGAGGAACTGAGAGAAAAATTAAAGGACTGGGTCAAAGCACATTTACATCTTCCTCAAGGTGGGGATTTTTCGAAAACTTTTCTTTTAAATACTTTTATCTTTTTCTGTTGTATTTTTTGTAACTATTACTTGTAACAGTTGCTAATAATTGCTATCAGATCCTGACAGTTGCTAATAATTATACTAAACACTGTTAATATTTTATAGAGATTCCAGATACAACCCTAGAGTGCTTTTTACTGAATACAAAAATGAGCCTGGAGCAAGCAAAACAAAAACTAGACATGTACTATTCTATCAGACGTTTGGTGCCTGAACTTTTCACAAATAGAGACCCCGTGGGATCTGGCATATCTGATGTCCTCCAAATTGTGTACGTGTTTGATGCATACAAATCGAACAATATCTTCTTCCACTGTCAATATTTAATAATATTGACTTTGCATATAGGAAAACTCTACAATAGATGATCTTTCCTTTTACTCAATCCAAAATTTACTAAAGTTCTTTTTCCCATAGCAATAACTAAAAGGATGTTTAAAAATCCTTTTCTTTTAATAACTAAAATGATGTTTAAAAATCCTTTTCGTTTAATAACAAAAAAGATATTTAAAGATCCTTTTTTTGTATAACAACTAAAAGGACATATAAAAATCCTTTTTTGTACAACAACGAAAAGAACGTTTAAAAATTCGACCATCAATCACTTATTGATTATACAATTTACAGAAAATGGGTCGCACTACCAAAGTTAACACTCGAAAAATACAGAGTCAGCATTCTGAAAACTATGGACTCTGATGATGTAATATACAACCCTTGGGAGATGTTTAAGTGAGTTTTTCCCAAAAAAAAAATATTCTTTTGATCTACTTTCCAACCTAAGAAAATAAACGCATCGAATAGAAAATCGCGATTAAGGTTTATGAATCAGAACCAATTTTACTCTACATAAATCTCGTTTTTCGTTTCAGGTATTCTTTTATGGTTGGCGACGTACGCATTTCGGAGTGTCGCAGCCTGGGAGACATCTACATTTACGACCTATCAGGAGTGCGACTGGGTCGCCTCGCCAAACTTACGCCAACAATACTAAAAAAGTGTGAAGTAACTGCCAGAGTGAGTTTTTACTTTTTACCACGCCCATTTCCCCTAAGCAAAAAAAAAGAAAAAAAAACTGCATAGATTTTGAATCCATACAAGACTTTGAATTTACTAGAGATTCTAAATTTATTGCAACCGATTTTCAATTTATAATGATCAGTGCTATCAACTCTCAATGAAAAATCTAAAACACCTCTCTCTCTCTCTCTCATCTATTGTAAAATATATACATGCGCGCACATATTGAAGCCAGTATTCACTTTCTAGAGCAACATCTCATATTTCATCCAACTTATCTCTTGTGACTATGTTCTCATCAATATTCATTTTATCGTTCAACTAGAATATTCAAAAGCTCCACTTAGATTAAGGAAACCTATTAAAGGTTTAGATTTTAGAAAACAATTCCCTCAAAGTTCAAAATATCAAAATAGAAAACCAAACTTTTATTTAATTCAATATTTAGTAAATACTTTCGCAATTAATTAATAAATTCAACAATTTGCGCGCTTACGCGCTCGGCTGACTTCTCGTACTCACTTTTTCAAATAAAATTAGCAATTTTAAAAATAATAGAACGTAAAAATTTGTTATTCAAATTTTTTTTTTTATAAAAATAAAAATATTAATTGACATCTAGGGAATTTAGTAAAATTAATAAATAAGAAGTCAATTCGATAAAAAGATTCCTCAATTTAAATGGTGACCACTATAGTGACCACCCTGGCCCTCTAAAGATTAATATAGTTAATTAATTAATTTTTTCGATTTCTGGAAGACGTATAAAACACTCTTTTACTTTTTACCTTTTATACGTCTTCCAAAAATCGAGAAAATTAATTTATCAAACTTTTATTTTTTACAGAAAGCCTACGCAGCGAAAATTGTTGGGATCCACTTTATTAATGCGCCAAATTTTGTCGATCGTTTGGTGAATCTAGTAAAGTCGTCCATAAAACCAAAACTAGCAGAAAGGGTAAATATTAAAAAACAAGCCCAAGTTTTTTTTTCTTTTCGTCTTTTCGATTGCCCCCCCCCCCCGGTATAATTTTCGCTATAAATATTTTAATCTAAAGTATTTCTAGAAAATGCATAAAGGTGAATTTGAAATTGATGATAATAATAATTTGTACATTCTTTATTCACGTTGTATGGTTATCATGCTTGAAAATCCCGATTTCGCGCTTCATTTATATGTATACGTTAGGGTGACCCCATCTGATGGCTTCGAACCGCTCGTGGCTCGCCTGGTTAAATTTAATAGCTCGGCTGATTTTGCCGGTATCGATGGCTTGGTTAATGGCCTAGACGAAAATTACATTTTCAAAACTTTAACAGTAGAGAGAGACATATATATCCTCCCCCATTAGATATTTATGAAAATCTAAAAAATAAATTTTTCATTTTCTAAATTTTCATTTCTACCGCACTATATAGGTCCATGTACATTCGACTTACGAATCTCTTTACGAATTCATACCAAAATCTATTTTGCCTGCTGATTATGGTGGCGAGGAAATGCAAGTAGATGATCTTGCAAGTGAGTTGAAGAACAATAACAAAAATATTATTCACATAATTATTTTCATTACTTAGGGTCAGTTTCACCAACTCCGATTAAAAGTTAATCAATGATTAAAATCAATTTAACCGCTCATGATGATTGGTCGGTTAAGGATTTAATTATTGATTAACTTTTAATCGGTGTTGGCGAAACTGGCCCCTTATTATATAATTACATTTAATTATTTTTCATTCATATTAAATTTAATTATTTTTCATTCATATCATGGGTATAAATTTTTATTTATGGAATATTAAATTTAATTATTCTTCAGAAATGTGGCAAGACAAATTAGTGGATTTGCGAGACTGGTTTATAAAGGAAGAACAAGTTCTCACAGATGAGGCCCTCAGAGCTGAACCAATGATAAATCCTGATGATCTTTTTGGAACTTATGGCTCATTTAGAAAATTAGATGTCGATTAATTAAAGCACAAACTAAGAGAATTGTTAACACTAAAGAATAAACCAAAAGGTAATCTAGATATTAGGAAAACAAGTAAATAAATTTAAAGCAATATTCACCAATCAGGGTTGCGACAAAAATTAAATTTTCTTTCTCCCAGACTTTTTCCTGACTGATTTTGACTTTCTTTCCTGATTTTAAAAACTATTCTGATTCACTCCAAAAATTATCGAGCATTCCGAGTCGAATTTAAATTTCTATAAAATTTTTCAAAAAAAAAAAAAATTTAATTTACAAAAATTTTAATAAAATCCTTCGCAACAATTCAATTATTTTTATAAGTAATACAATTTTTTTCACATTCAATTATTTAAAATTATTTAAAAATTATTTTAAAAAATGTAATAAAATTCGTTGTACGAATGCAATTATTATCATAAATAATACAATTTTTCCTAGGATTTAAATTATTTTTACTGCAATTTTAAATTAATTCCTCGAAAAATTGAATTATTTTCAAACATTTTTTGCTTGATTTCAATTACATTTTACAAATAATGAAATTCTTTGCTGAAATTCAAATATTTTCAAAATTTACTATTTGAAAAAAATTTCTCAAAAGAATTCAATTATTTTCATAAATAATAACATTTTTCACAGGATTTCAATTATTTGAAAGAAATGTAATAAAATTCGTTTCAAGAATTCAATTATTTTCATAAATAATAATATTCTTCACAGAATTTCAATTATTTAAAAAAATCTAATAAAAACTCGTTGCAAGACTTCAATTATTTTCCTAAATAATAAAATTCTTCACAGGATTTTAATTACTTTTTAACACAACTTTAAGTAAATTCTTTGAAAAACGTAATTAATTTCAAAAATACTATAAAAATTCTTCGAAAGAAAAAAATGAACAATTATCAATTATTTTTAATAATTTTTGCAAAAGTTCCTAGAAAGTTTTCAAATCCATTTGTTTACAATTTTTATTAGAAAATTCTACGAGAATTCAATTATTTAAATAATTTTCCTAAACTATTTTATCAAAAAATTTTTGAATAATTGAATTTTTTTCAATTAATTTTAATAAAATTTTTAATAGAATTACATTTTTCGAGGAATTTGGTTAAAATTGTATTAAAAATAATTGAAATTCTATGACTTTTATTATTCATGAAAATAATTGAATCTCTGTAAAAAATTATTATTTATGAAAATAATTGAATTATTGCATAAAAAATAATTTGTAAATAATTCAATTTCTGTGAGATTTTTATTATTTATGAAAATAATAATTGAATTTTGGAGAAGAATTTTACTATTTTTAAAGATAATTGAAATTTTGACTAGAATTTTATTATTTAGGAAAATAATTGAAGTCTTCCAACGAATTTTTATTAGATTTTTTTTTTAAATAATTAATATCTTGTCAAGAATATTATTATTTATGAAAATAATTGAATTTTTGAAACGAATTTCTATTAGATTTTTTTTAAATAAGTAAAATCCTGTCAAGAGCATTATTATTTATGAAAATAATTGAATGATTGCAAAGAAATTTATAGAAAATTGGTAAATAATTGAATCCCTGTGAAATGTTTATAATTTTACGAAAATAATTAAAGGTTTGAGTAGAATTTTATTAAATTTTTTTTTTAATATTTGAATTCTTTTGGAAAATTTTATTAAAATAGTAGATATTTAAAATCATTGAATTGAGGATAATTTTTGAAAATAATTGAAATTTTACCAAGAATTTTATTAAAATTTTTGAAAATAATTGAATTTTTGAGAAGAATTTTACTACTTTTGAAGATAATTTAAATTTAGACTAGAATTTTTTTTAAATTTTTGAACAAAATTGAATTTGTAACTTCTCTAAAATTCAATTTTATTAACAATTTAATTTCAATTTTATTTTCAATTTTATTTTTTTATTTAATTTTATTTTTTTTATTTATTTATTTTTTTTTATTTTATTTTATTCAATTTTATTTTTTAGTGTTAAAAAATGTATTTTAGTTGTTGACCATAATTATTTGTAGTGAAAATGATGTAAAGAAAATGTTTGTTTTTGTAACAAATATTCCTCTATAAATCCATGATTTTTAATAATTAATTAAATATATATAAAAAAATGTAAATAAAACTAATTATAAATCCTGCAAATTAAATTTTTTCCAGTACCTACTTTCAATAAAAATCCCTGACTTTTCCCTGATTTTCCTGACCAGTGGCAACCCTGCCTATAATATAGACAATATTTGAGAATGTTTCACAATCACTTGGAGAATATTATTATTAATTTGCATTCAAATAGAAAAATAAACTGAAGAAACAATAAAAATGACATATTTCTTTTGAAAATCAGAGAGAAATCCTTTCCTAAGTGAGTTTTCCCCTGTCACCGATCTTTGAGGTCGCATATCGGCTTGCGAGAGCCCAAGAAGACTCTCTAAATGGAAATTCGTTGTAGCGAAGTTTCTTCGGTCTAGTCTTGTTGAGGGGTTGATGAACACTGAATCTTTTGCGAGAAAAGAATTGCATTCCGTTACAATGCGGTATCATTTAATGCCCTTCCCTTCATCCTCCACTTTCAAATTCCAACCATTAATCCAATCTTTATTGCACATTTATTTTTACATAAATTTACTAAAATCCGTCCATAATAAATAAAAATCCAAAAAATTTTTTTAATATTTTCAAACTATGGGCAAGGAATGGAAAAAAATTACTTTTTTTTTATATTTTCAAACTATGGGAAAAGTATGGCGAACCATTGAAGAAAAAACTATTTTTTTTTCTATACATGACAAAACTTTTAACAGAGTTTAAAAAAAAGAATTAAAAAATAAACTAAACTTACTCAACATTCATATGCTTTTTACAACTTTTTATCAAAGTGACAAACGATATTTTCAAAACAACGACAAGACTGCTTGATATGCATGAGTTTCATTTGTATGTAGTGAAGGTTTGTTTAATTTCAAACAACAATTTTTCAAGCTGAAATAAAAATAAATGTGGAAAAAAAACAGAGCTAAAAATTATTTCTTTTTCATCTGATTAAAATTATATCAACAGAAAAGCATGTAAAGGAAGATAAAAATATATTTAATTATTCCACGATTTTCTTTTGTGAAGAAAACTAATACCAACTTTCATGTATTATTTTAAAAAGCGTATTTAAATTTTTACTTTGAAGAATATAAAATTACTCTAGTAATTTAATTCACGAATCACGAATGTATAATTAAATAATTGTAATCAAAAAATATTTTTAAAACTTCTATATAGTGGATTCAATAAGCCGATCTCAAAAATTTTTCCTTTTCCAAATACGAATGTGCTTCCTCTATAAAAATCTGAAAATCGACATATACGCTGCTGAATAATGGATCGACCATGGATCGTCCAGAAAGAGCTAGAAATGTGATTTTAGGGTGAGCCTCAATATTTTTCCCTTTGTCAATTTTCTAGTTCCTCTTTATCATTTTCCAATAAAATTTTTCCATTTCTTTCCCATTAAAAATATATTTTTTTTTTTCATATAGAAAAAATATCATCATTAAAATACCGAGTATATAATTTCCAATTTTCAAACCACTTATTATCGAAATATTTATCTTTTAACGTATATTTTAACATAAAATTTGAATTGTATATTTATAATGATAAAACAATTCTCGAATTTATGGAATAAAATCGAAATAACGAAAGTTGATCATTAGAAAATTTTCAATGAATCACAAAAGCATTGAACCTAAAATTTTTAATCTAAATTATCAAAGTCAGCAAGCAAGTACAATACATTTGCATATCAACCTATATTATTCCCGCATGATATATCATTACAAAAAGAAGATAGAATGCAATTTTAAGCTTGGATCCACAAACTGCTCGTAAATTTTATAACACTTGCGATAGCATCAGTTAACATGACTCATGCATTAGCGTGTGCTGAAATGAAAATAACACAGCGTTGAACGCTGCAGAAAATCACTGAACATTTTTATTAAAATTACGAAAAACAAATTCGAAATTGCGAGTATAAAAAAAAAATACTTTTAATCGTTATTGCTTTAGCTTGTAAAATTTACTGAAATAAAATAATTACTGACCGATGGTTGGTAGTAATTTTTAATATTTTGCTTTATCGCCACTAATCATTTTAATGAGTTTTAATATACATTCAAGCACCAAAATTATTTTCGTTTTCATTTCATTCATTAAGCAATAGAAAAGAAATTCAGTATACATTTTTTAAAAAATTGGACCCAACATCGACTGCAGAAAAGAGATTCATGCTTGAGTGAAATTTTTATGTCATAAAAATGCGAGACTGTTGCATTTTTCACGAGTTGCGGGGAAAAAATTAGTTGCTTAAATTTTTTTAGAGACTTTGATAAAAAAACTTTCCAAATTATAGAGTTTGTTATAAAGCATTAAAGCTTTTGCCTTTTAAATTATTTTACGTACAAAAAATTGTGCGCAGAATAATTTAATCAGAAACAATTCTAGCAGTATTCAAGTATTCAATTAAAAACGCTGGAGGAATTACTCCAAAATATTTCATTTATCATTTTAATGCGCACTTTAATTAATAAAAGTTTTTAAATAATAAAATAATGTTTACCAATGTTTTACCACTATTAAGTTAAGCAAAGGACTTACCAGTGATGTTGCATGACGAATTTTTCACTTGGTAGAATGATGTATCGAGAAAAATAAATATCCATCCAAGTGAAGATATTAGGAAACAAAAACACTTGATCGTGGTTTTAAAATATCGAACACTCCCGAAACTAATTATTTTTAAATAAAATTTTAACTTTAAACACCCTAAACACTCGATCGCGGTTTTAAAATGTCGAACACTCCCGAAGCTAACACTTTTTAAATTCTTTAAGCACATAATCGTTTCCGAACACTTCCAAACACCAAGATTTCTGTAAACAAAAAATGCAGACAATTAATATATTCATTAAATACAATTTAATAAATTAATTTCAAATTCCTTTACTGTTCCAGATTTTCTAGGTTAAATAACGGAATTTTTCCAGGCTTTTAAAACTTTTTTTTTTAAATAAATATTTAATAATTATTATTTTTACATAGGAATTAAGATTTTCAGAAGATTTAAATTAAATAAAATATAAGAATATTATTAGAAAAGAAAATTGCTAAAATCATTATTTTATTTTATAAGAATATTATTACTGCAACTTCTTTAAAAATATTTTCATCATTTCGATTCAATTATTGATTTCTAGAATTTTTAACTAAAATTCTTCTCTAAATCAACTATTTTTAATAATTTCTGATTTCTGACAAAGTTCCTTGGGAATTTTCAAATCCATTTGTTTACAGTTTAATTTTACGAAAATTTCGATTATTCGTAAATTCTTCAATTAAATATATAGAAAATAAAAACTTGAAATAATTTCCAAAAGAAAATCCGCAATGAAACTTTCTCAAAAAAAATTATTTCCACGGAATTGTTAATTAAAAATGTATGAAAATTCAGAATTTCAGAGTTTAATTTGAAATCTTTTCAAAATTCAATTATTTCTAAAAATTGACTCTCTAATACTTTTAATATTCAATTATAATCTAAAATTTTAACTGTAATCCATTTTTAAATGAATTTTTACTTGAAAATTATACCACACGGAGAGAGAATATAAAATTAAATTTTGTAAAAGTGTTTTACAAATTGGGGAAAAAGTGCAACAAAGCGAAATTTTTATATAAAAAATACTAAACTTTAAAAAGAATTATATGAAATTTAGTATAATTATATTAAATATCAAGAATATTTATTAAATTCTAATAAAACTTTACTAAATTTGATGGAAGTTTTTTTTAAAATTTAGTATTTTTTATATCAAAATTTTGCAGCGTCGCACTTTTTTTTATTATTTATAAATTAATTAAATGTTCGGGTAGAATTTCAATAAAATCTTTTTTAAATAATTAAATTCTTTTGGAAAGTTTTTGAAAATAATTAAAATTTTGCCACGAATTTTATTAAAATTTTTGAAAATAATTTAATTTCGGAGAAAAATTTTATTATTTATAAAGATAATTGAAACTTTGAAAAACATGTTTGTAAATTTTTTTAAAAATTTCTTTTTAAATAATTAAATTCTTTTGTGAAATTTTATTGAAATGGAAGACATTAAAAATAAATAAATTTTGACAAACTTTTGAAATTAATTCAATTTCTACGAAGAATTTCATTAAAATTATTTTGAAAAAAATTGAATTTTTAGAAAGAATTTCATTAGAAATTTTAAAAACAATAATTTAATTCTTTAAAGTAATTCAATAAAAAATGTTTTAAATATTACCCTCAAATTCTAATAAATAAAATATAGCAAAGGTTTTTAAAATAATTGAATTTTTTTGATGAATTTGAATAAAATTTTTAAGAATAATTACATTTTTCGAGGAATTTTATTAAAATTGTATTTAAAATAATAATTGAAAGTCCACGATGAGTTTTATTATTTATGAAAATAATTGAATTCTTGTAAAAAATGTTATTTATGACAATAATTTTAAAATAATTGAATTCCTGTGAAATTTTTATTATTTATGGAAAACAATTAAATGTTGCGTAGAGTTTTATTAAAATTTGTTTTAAATAACTGAATTCTTTTGTAAAATTTTATTGTAGTAGTATAGATATCAAAAATTATTGAATTGAGGAAAGTTTTGGAAAATAATTGAAATTTTGCCAAGAATTTTATTAAAATTTTTGAAAATAATTGGATTTCTGAGAAGAATTTTACTACTTTTGAAAATAATTGAATTTGTAATTACTCTAAAATTCAATATTCCTTTTGGTGTTTTTAACTAAAATTCTTTTATAAATCCATTATTTTAATCAGCTAAATATTTATATAAAAAAAAATGTAACCAATTTCAGAAGGATTTGAATTATTAAAATTTTTCAAAAATCTACGTTCTTTAAGATTTCTAAAAAATATTCATTCAAAATTTGTTTTTCTGAACGCAGCTTCAAATTGTTTAGGAAGTGACATTTAATAGAAAATGTAAAAGAGGAAAATTCTCTCAAGTAGAAAGGAAAAATTTATTTAAGAGGAAAAAATGCTGCAAATGAAGAGGAATCGTTTAAAATGGAAAACAATTTTTTTTTTCGGTGTAACTTTAGAAAACAACAATTTTCCAAGATTCGAAGCATCAAATTTAAATGAGGTGTAAAAGAAATCATGAGTAGATTGCTATCAAACATGAAAGAACCAAAGACAAGTACGTTTCAGCTAATCGAACCAATATTCCTCAACTTCTTTCTCATCACTTTGAAATTTGGCCAATAAACATAAAGATGAAATAATCGTAATTAAATTCCAAACGAAACTTTGAATTTAGATTCTGCTATCAAACTTAAACGAGATTCTAATTCAAGTCTTTCGCAAACGCATTAATTCACGCGAGGAATTTCAAATCCTTTGATATATAACATTTCAAAGTTGGTGCGAAATTAGAGAAATTATTTGACGATAGTATGGTCTTTGAGGCAGCCAAAGATGTTCGCCGACTAATCGGGTAATATAGGGGAGTTAGTACCAAAAGTGCGATATGTATACACATACTTCCACGTATATATTCTCTTGGAAATCTCTGTTCAACAGAGAGTTGCCTATTGGTGCTCTCAATGCCTCTTCTCACGGACGAGAAGATAATATTCAACCAACAGAAGAGTAAAGTTACACCCCATGACAGAAGCAGCGTTACAACCATCCAATGCATCGTTCAATTGAATATGTAAATTGATCACGCAATGGTTCGATAAACGATTTCTATTTCATTCTGTCCCGCACGTCAAAGATATTTGAATCACTAGCACTATCTCAATTTACATCATATTCGAAACAACAAAATATTTTCGCAAAAAAAAAACGAGCACGGTAATTATGATCGTACAATTGTACAATCGTACAATTCTCACAATCAAAGTATAATTTAAAATCCAGCAAATAAAAATATACTCAATTAAAAAGGGTTTTCTTTTTCTACAGCATCAAAAAAGGAATAAAATAAAATTATTAACTCAATTGGATAGTGGAGCTTTTTATTGTAGCATTTATCTAAAACTTACATCAACTTTCGGGAACAAGAATTTTTCGTAATTGTACAAGTTTTTGGTATTGCCGAGCAATAATATTTAGTTACCACAAACTAAATTGAAGTTTCGGATATCCAATTTTCTCACCATAGGAATAATCTAGTTGTAATTCAATATTCAGTCCTGGCTATACACACACACGCGCGGTCTTAAAATATTCCGGCAAAGTCTTGCAATCAAGGAATTACAGAGACAGTAACAGATTACCAAATGCGAATGCATAAACCATTGGCTGAAGCAGTAGAGGAGGCGAAGCACAGAAATGGAGATCAGTGCAAGAAACTAAAGTGTGAGAAGAACGAAAAAAAAAATACAAAACAAACTCGATAAAGTGTCGATAGAATATTCGCGTGGTGAAAAGAACAAGTTTTTAAAAAGTTCCAACTGACTGTCAACAGTAATGCAGCAGTCAAAACTAATAAATATTTTATGCGACATGTCCCTATCCTCCTACTTCTGTTATGTTACTAGAAACGAGTAAGTAGTGAGAATTTACATATTCAATCAAGCATCTAACTCGATGCCTTCGGCTACAGACTTACAGATATAGGTACACTTTATAACTTTCTTCGAGACGCCTTCGATTGAAAATCCCTTTTCAACTCACTATGCTTTCTTACCTCTTTTACCTTCATAAAAGCTTCAGTAAAATGTAAATAGAAATGAAAAGCTACTTTATCAGCAAAAAGTTATAAATTGACCTTTTCATTTCTAAACATTCTCTCATTCCCAAATTCCATTATTTTAATTCTAGAAAACAAATCTATATATGAAAATTCGCAACAAAAATAGAATTAATAACTACCTTGTTACAATTGTAAGCACATTTTACTATTGTATTATAACAAAAAAAAAAGCATTGAATGCAGCTAGAGTATAGCTATAGGAAAAGCAGTTGAAACAGCCTCTATTGATATTGATATTGATATAGCCATCGATGACGAAACTCATTTCTCACGAGTTTTCATCGGCGATGAGTGCCGGAGAGCTTTTCAATTACGGCATACAGTCAATGTAGACTAGCAGCAAGTGGAAAAGATTAAATTGCATTTTCTCAAACACAAATGTGAACCTCCTAAATCGCGACAATACATTAGCTTCATGTCATAAACTTCAAAATCGACAAATTAAATTAACTTTCTAAATTAAATGAAATTGTTATATCATCCCCTTTTACTGTAATTGAAAATAAATTCCCCTCCAAACAAATACGAGGAGAGTAATTAGTCTTACGAAATAAAGAAGTAGAATTTACCACCATAGCATCTTTTCTAGTATTAATAAAAAAAAATCTCAGGGTTGCCAAACAACCTAAAAACCTGGAAATATCAAGGAATTTTATAAACCTTGAAAAAACCTGGAAGTCACATCTGGGTCATCAAAATTAATTTAATTCACTATTCATAAAAAGTAACCACAGCCGATAATCAGCAGAAGATAAAAAATTATTTTTCATCAATCTTTATCTTCTGTTGAGTAACAATTCTTAGTCTACAAATTTTTTACAGGTCCTAAACTACTCCTAGAACAATGCCAATTAATATCTGAGTCATCAAAATTAATAGAAAAATAAAATCACTATTTTATACCTATTATAAAAATATTGTTACTGTAACTTATTCAAAATTACTTTCATTATTTTAATTCAATTATTGTTTTCCACAATTTTTAACTAAAATTCTTCTTTATAAAGTGTAAATTAATTATTATTAATAATTTCCGAAAAATTTCTTTCAACATTTTCAAATCCTTTTATTTACAATTCAATTTTACGAAATTTCATCGATTATTCAG